AGATGGTGAAGTAAGGCTAACCTCAAGATGAATGAATATGAAAAAGAAAAGGATTCCAAATCAGAAAAATAATGTATCTTATAATGCATTATTTGAAGGGTGTGCTTTGCATAAGGTTGCAATCTTAAACAATCTAATTAAGGCGTATCTCAAAATTTTATCATAAATGCAATTTTAGTATAAAAAATTATTAGGTTGACTTGAGAATCTATTTTCATCTCTAATTATAAAATTTTAAACTTTACAAATGGTTCAAATCAAGTAGATCTATAAACAAATGAAAATCATGAAACTGGAAGGTCCAGATAATATGTTATAAGATACACTATTTACAGACTCGAAATCTTTTTTTGTTTTCATAATCATACATCTCGATGTCGAGATAATCAATTTGAGAGTTTTCCACTATCCAGACAACCTTTTATGATGGATTTTTTAGGTGCGCCTTTAATTCTACATTTTTAGGTTGCAACCTTGTATGAATTTTTTTCTTTATCTAAATCCTCTAGTTTTGACAATTTTAATTATTTATATATTTGCCCAATCTGTGTTATTTTGGGAATTTTAAATTCCATAGTTACATATAGAAACAGATTTTCATGGTATCACAAGCCTTTTCAAAACCAGAATTGCATCTATACTTTTAAGGTTGATGCCTTACACAACCCTTCTCCCATATCCAACTAGTCAGAAATTTCAAATCATCTAATAAATAATTGTGAAGATATATTACGTTATTTCAGTATCTTGAATTTTGGATTAGTTTCCATATATACGGCAAAAAAGACACAACTAATAATATTTCTGCAAAATTCGTTGATGATAATTTACAAATTTCATGGATGAAATACGCTATTATCTGCTGGATAGGGAGGTTAAATTCCGTCACGTTTACAGAAAAAGGAATAATGTTGCGTACTCTCCTTATCTTATGATCTGTTTGCTTTTGTCCTTCTTCTATTTATTCCCTCCAGCCATAGCCAAACAAACTCTCTCGTGAAACATCCTCAAATACCTGATATTAAAATTAATGGTCAATGGTGTCGGTAACTTCATTATATCAAAAGTAAATGGTCTCATTTTATATATTTTTATATAATATATTATTAAATATTTCAACCACATAAATTGTAGAAATTCGAATGTTTCTTTTTATTCTTTATGTTTTTTTATCTTTTACTTCTTGGTTGGTAAAGAAATTCACTTATTACAAGGTTTGCCCAAGTGGTGTGCCTACTTATTCAAAATATTTTTCCAATTATTTGGATTCGGCTATATGAATCTCAGTTTGCTATTTTTCTCTATCAAAAATCATATCATCATAAATATCTATATCGTAAATACCTATATTAGTAGCATCACTAAAATTATAGACTCCCAGCTATGAATTCCTCCCAAATTGGCCATTCCGATATTACCATCTTTCTATCATCACACCATCTAAAGCCAGATTGTACAAGAACCTGTTTAGCTTCACTATAAACGAAGACT